TGAGTTACACGCATCATGACCAGGAAATATTCAATATCAAGTAAACACTGTTTACAAGATGGTGAAAGTAGAAATCCAGTCATGTTGGCAGTGATGGAAATCTAACCTGGGTAGTACAGAATGTGTGACAATACTCTCTCACAACATATTAAAAGGCTTAAGCAAAATAATTTCCAGTTTGTGGTTTCAGACTATAAAATTGTTGTTTAAATTCATTAAGGGACAATTTTAAATGACCACTCAGTCTAATCAGTAGATTTAAAACTGTGGGTAAAGTTCTGAAAAATAATATTAACAAAATCAAGATGAAGAGGAAAATGGAATACATCATTCCATTATAAAACAATTGAAGAAGCTGCTTAATCCCGACTCATTTGGAAGTGTTGACACCAGTGTTCGCACAGCTGTGTAATTCTCTTAAACAATGGTAAGTGATTTATGCACCAGACTGTGTAATGATAATTAGTTTAACATCAAACACATTACTACTTAGCTATAATGTCAGTATAATGCACGATAATAAATAATACATGTAACATTAGATTACATCCACAACAAAGCTATTATTAATTTACAACGTTTTTTCTTAAATGCCAAATATGGTATTACAGTAAGTGTGTGTAACAGCATTTTAAACACACTACATCTGTTGTACACCACTGCTTAAGGGATCTTTTATGCAGAACCAGAGCTCATCAGGACAGCTGGTTGACATATATTCTTAGTAGAAATTTGTTATGTATTATGATAAAGAATAAATTCATGTTGGATGCTAAGTAAAGCACAACAAAACAAAAAACATTATACTTTATTACATACTGTAGGTTTGTTGTGAAATCATTATTATTCCTTTAGAAGACAAAACACTACATATGTTACAAGTGTATGAGTGAAAACTAGCCTTCAGTCCAGTAATTTCATGAAGAGCAAATATTTCGAAAAATCAAATACCAAAACAGGATCATGGAAGATTTACAACACCAAAATGAGATCGTGGAAGATTTATAACACCAAAATAAGATTGCGGATGATTTACCTCAGTAAAACAGGATCATGGAAGATTTACTTCACTAAAACAGGATCGTGGAAGAATTACAACTCCAAAACAGGATCATAGAAGATTTACAACACCAGGATCATGGAAGATTTACAACACCAAAACAGGATCATAGAAGATTTACTTCAGTAAAACAAGATTGTGGAAGATTTACAACACCAGGATCGTGGAAGATTTACAACACCAAAACAAGATCATGGAAGATTTACTTACGTAAAACTCGCAGGAGTTTCTCAAGCTAAACAAACTGCCATTCTTCTTGTAAAAACAAGGAATACATGTGACTAAAATCTGGATAGATACTTGTTGCTTCACCTTGGTCCATGTAAGTTGAAATCTCTAGAATAATTTTTCTAGAGCAAATAAATGAAACAATCCAAACTACTAGAAATAACTAACTCTTACTGTTTATTAATGTTATCTTTGGAGAGTTTCTCTCATGTTGTAACAGATACAATATCTTAAGATTAAACTCATTATTTCTGTACAACAGTATCCTAAACACACAAATACACTTTGTTACAGTGTTACTATAATTTAAATCAATAACAATATTTCTTGCTGCAGTATCCTAAAGTGAAACGAGCTATTTTGGAGTAACAGTATTCTAAAGTCTCTCTTGTTATCTGTGTGTAACAGTATCCTGTAATCACACGTTATCTCTGACCAGTGGTATCCTGTAATCACGCTCATTATCTCTTAAGTAATAATATCCTGTATTCAAACTCCTTATTTCTAAATAACAATCCTACGTTTGCACTAACTTTCTCTAAGTGACAGTTTTTTCTGAGTAACAGTAACCTTAGTTGACACAGTTATATCAGGGTAACACTATACTATATACACACTTGTTATCTCCATGTAACAATATACTAAATTCATATTATCTAGCTGCCTTTGTTCCTTCATTGTTCTCAAGTAGATAACATGTTCTACCTATGAACAGTATTGCTACAATACTGCACTTACAAAGTGCAAGGATGTCGACAGCAGTATTTCATATGATATCTAGAGGTTACGGCCACGTTTGAATGAGAATGACCAGTTATGTAGATAGCACTAGTTGTTCTGGGTAACTACAATGTTTCTAGAGAAGTAAGAAATGCTGGATTTAGTCCGTCTGGTATATGGACGGAGTACTCGCATATGGAAGCACATTTTGCTAAGATAATAGTAAACTGACAAACAACAATTTATAAACATTATCGAACTGGTGTATTTAAGTGTTTTACATTTACAAAAAAGAAACCTACTTTTACTTGTTGTTAAACAAATGTTTAAACAACTCTATTTATTCAATTATAAAGATTATGCTTATGAATCATTGTTTGTCAGTTTACTGTCATATGGATTGAGCTTGAGCAGTTGAACATTGAAGGCTCAGTGTTAAAAGTAAGCACACACACACACACACTGTGTTTACGTTTAACATGATACGAATACAGACTGCTCATTTTGTGTCCAGTCTCATGACTCAGTTTCTCAGAGATATAGAATTACTCCATAATCGATATCTTAACTGAATTTCCTGTTATTAAAAGGATCAACTACTGCTGTAGAGTTAATTCAGGATATACTAAATATTCACACTCCTTAGCTCTGAGTTATGGTATCCTAGGTTCATACTAATCATTTCTTAAGTAACAGTATCCTAAATTTATATTTATTATCTGTGTACATAACAATATTTTGTATTCACAATTGTTATCAATGTGTTATAGTAACAGCATCTTAAGCTCTAACTCATTATATCTGGGTAACAGTATTCCCTATTTACATTTGTTACCTCTGTTTAACAGTATCCTAAAAACTACATGGAACACCTCTTTAAAAAAAGTATCCCAAAAATCACTGAGCATCACATCTTATAAAAAAAACAGAATTTGAGTGTTAGAATGTTTTAAACACATGCTACCCATGTAAATAATTACAGTTTTCAAAAGCTTCTGCAAGTCACTTCATGGTCTTCTTCTACAACCACAAATGGTACATCATAGTCTTACAGTGTCCTAAGCTAAGATATAATCACATACACTCACTGTTCTACAAATGGTACATCATAGTCTTACAGTGTCCTAAACTAAGATATAATCACATACACTCACTGTTCTACAAATGGTACATCATAGTCTTACAGTGTCCTAAGCTAAGATATAATCACATACACTCACTGTTCTACAAATGGTACATCATAGTCTTACAGTGTCCTAAACTAAGATATAATCACATACACTCACTGTTCTACAAATGGTACATTTTGGAAAATATAATTCTAGACTCACGTAAGTCTTCACCTCAGGTCCAGTAAGTTCAGGGTCATTGTCATCAGCAACTGACCAGGGCAACAAAATAAAGTGGTTATAAAATAACTAATGATAAATTCATTACCAAAGTATGTTGGGTCTGACTGTTGCACATTACTAACATAAGAGTTGAGGGCATTCAGGATTCTTCCCTGTACTTTAGATTTTGTTTCTCAAGAAGTGCCCTGAATGTCGAGAAAATGTGCCACTAGAAATTTATAAAAAATTCTAGAAATTAGGCCACTATAGTATATAATTGAGATGCAAAAATTACAGACTACACAAGATGGAAATCGAAGGAAAATATCTGATGTAAAAAGAAGAAGACAGTTTTGCAACACATTTGAGATGTAACAGTTGTTGACCTACAGAAATTTTTTTAACAAAACTGTTGAATCACTTGGAAGAGAGGTTTTAGTAGCTACACGATCACAGCTCATTTTTCAGTTTCGGGTACTGCATTGCTGAATTGTTTAAAATTAGCTCAAATTGAAATACTGTGAGGATCTTAAAATTGAATTATTAGTTGTCAGGACAACTGAGTCAGTGGAGGAGCTACAAAGCATTTTTTTAGATGTGTGCAAAGAAAGATTAGCATCTTTGTTGCATTGAGAATTCTACTGACTACCCAGCACTACTGTTAGAGGAGAAAGTAGCCTTCCCAAAGTTCAAACAGACTCATATCTATATGAAATAAACCATGAAACAAATAAGATGAGTTATAAAATAAAAAGACGATACTTTCAGACATAAAAAAAAATAGATATGGCGTATGAATATAATTGCATCTCATCTCAAAAGTTTAAAAGCTGGGAATATTACATCACCTTGTTATGTAATACCTGTTAGAATAATCTCAATTTTGTAGTTTGACACCTACAAAAATACTCCAACAATTTAACACTTGATGTGATAGTTTTATAATTTATAATGGTTAATATCTAAAAATAATAATCTTTAACTTCTAAAAAAAAATAACCTTTGAAAACCTGGAGGGAGGATAATTTTATCACTAATAATGTTTAACTTCTAAAGATAATAATATATGGACACTTGGGATGATAATTTGATCATTTAACATCTGTAAAGATCATCTTATCTACATAGTCTCAAAAGAAAACTACCCATAATTCAATGTGAACATTTCTGATATGCCTCACAAGAAAATTTCTCAAACTTCATTATTCAAGAGACATTAGACAGTTACAATTCTACATAAATGTACCTGGTCAAAAAATTAAATCAAGAAGAAAGTATTTGAAGATACACAGTTTTTTCTAGATTCTACTTTTAAAATTAGCAAAAACTGTGATATATAATATAATTCTATAAAAGAGTTTCAGAGAGAAATATAGGTCTGAAACATGAACGACTCATTACTTTTTATAATAGTTCTAACTAATATGTCATCATTTACTACATATCTCTTTGACAATGAATAAAGAGTTCAAGATTTATACCCCGATGGTCATTACAACAGTCTTTGTTACAAAAGGAAGTATATATATTTAGTGACTTACAAATAACTTATTTTTGTGTCAGATAAAAAAATTTGTTTCTCTTAAATTATATTTTTAAGTAGTAATTTTTCAATGGTTTTAATTAGAAAGTATAATGAATTGACAATTGCAATACTCAAGTAAAACGTTATAAATATTTAATTTTACAATAGATGGAAAATACAAACACTCATCTCTAATAATATTTGATTTTATTGAACTCAGGTTCCAAACTTTTTCTGTTTAAGCAGTGGAGGAAGCTTGTCTAAGATCTGAGAAGGTGTTATCTCAACAGCAACAAATTCATCATTTTCCAAGTTGGTGAACGATAACAAGTGCTGCAAAAAAATGAGGTGTTATTTTGATGCACAAATTGTTTAATTAATTACATATTATAACTTCCATAAAACTAATGTTGCACATGAAAGAATCATTGTTTACTGGCATGAGTACATTTTGGTTCAGTGAGTTATAATAATCATTTAAAAATTAATATTAGAATATTTTTCCATACATTACTAATGCATTAAATTCAAATAATCAAGTGAAACACATGTAAGTCATTTTGAACATGTACAACTTTTTTTTGCTATCTTTGTAAAATAAATACATTAAATATCTTAAATTACCAAATAAAGAAACACAGAATTACTAGTTATAATATTTTAATAAACCTCATAACACTCAAGTATGACAAAATTAACAAGTTATACAATAGTGTCACATATCAATAATTTAATATTTGAACAGCACAGAACTGTCATGTATCATTGAACCATCAAATATGTAATACAAAACTTTTTCAACAGTTTGATATCAATGATGTAATGCAAACAGATCAGTATTGTAGAATGTACTTTGGTATTTGATAACCAGCATTTTCGTGGATTTTTGTACTGACAGCTGAATTCAGCTGTCAAATAACATTGTTTTACTGAATAAACAGTAGAGTACTGACAAGTATCACTGATTTACTAAATAAACAGTAGAGCACTGACAAGTATCACTGATTTACTGAATAAACAGTAGAGCACTGACAAGTATCACTGATTTACTGAATAAACAGTAGAGCACTGACAAGTATCACTGATTTACTGAATAAACAGTAGAGCA